CTTCAGAGCTGGAAGAAGAGGGAGAAGAGGCTTCAGAGCTGGAAGAAGAGGGAGAAGAGGCTTCAGAGTTGGATGAGGAAGAAGAGGCTTCAGGCCTGGAGGAGGAGGAAGAAGAGACTTCAGGGCTGGAGGAGGAGGGAGAAGAAGAGGCTTCAGTATTACGTGAGAAACAGGATTCAATCTTTCAGCGTCATTCTGAGGTAAATACACAATGTGGAGTTGAAGAAAAAAATAATGGTTTGGAGATTGTTTTAATTAAAGAGGTAGAAGATTCTGAGCCAGAGGAAGAAAAAGGTTCAGAGTGGGAAATGGAAGTAGTTTTATCGTGGGAGGAAGGAGAGGACTCTGAGGTAGAAAATGTAAAGACTGCCTCCCAGATTGAGAAAAAAGAGGCCTCAGATGGACTTAAAGAAATTGCCTATGATTATTTGGCTCAGGACTTTGAGAAGAAAAAATTGGTGAAACAGCAGATGGTACAAAAAACCCAGGATAAAAAGGAAACAGCTATGCCCAGAAACCAAGGAGTTGGGACAGTCTGTCCAACCTTGCGTTTGGCCTCTCCCTCAAAATCACTAGAGATAAGTTCTGATAAGCAGAAAAGGCATTTAAGTACAAATTCGAGTACTCCATCAGGAATCACCAAATTTTTAAGGAAGACTGAGAAAGAGCGACACAAAACTCTGCTAACAGATGTGCAAACATCTAAAGAAACAGACTTAATACAAGAAACTGAAGAAAACTTTAGAAGAAATGTAATTAACAACTTTAGAGAGCTACAGGAGGAGGTTGCAAATCTTAAAAATTACCTTCCAGAGGTCTTCGGAATAAAAAACTCAATAGATGTTCTGAATAGCAGAATAGACACACTTGAAGAGAGAATGGACAATCTGGAAGACCGAATTGAAGAATTCTCTAAGGATACAATGCAAATGGCCAAACAGATAATAAATAAAGAAAGGTCAAGAGACATAGAGGATAGATCCAGAAGTTCCAACATCCGTTTGATAGGAATTCCAGAAAAAGATAATAAAGAGAATGGAGCAGAGGAAATAATTAAGGAAATCATTGAAGAAAACTTTCCAGAGCTAAAGGATTCAAGTCTTGAGGTGGTCAGTGCTTACCGAATACCTAGTAAGATTGATGAGAAGAGACTCACTCCTAGACACATCTTGGTGAAATTTGGGAATTCCAGTGATAAAGAAAAAATCCTAAAGGCTTCCAGAAAAAGAGAAATAACCTACAGAGGAACAAGAATCAGAATGACCGCAGACTTATCGTTAGATACTCTAGATGCTAGAAGTCAGTGGAGCAATGTCATAAAAGTTCTGCAGGCAAAAGGCTTTACACCTAGAATCCTATACCCAGCCAAATTGGCATTTGATTTTGAAGGTAAAACAAAGACATTTTTTGATATTGAAGAGTTCACAAAGTTTGTTTCTTGCATACCCTCTTTGAAAGAATTACTGGAGGATATACTTTAGCAATCTAGGGTGACTATAAACACGTACACACAATATATATTACCTTCCTCCCACAGCAAGAGTCAAAAAGGAAAACGAAATTAAAATGCCACATTTCTATCCAGGAAGATGGACTGTGAACAGTATACTTGGGGAGTAGGGGAAAGGAAGGTTACAGATACTACTTAGATGTTGGTGAAGTTAAAGGGTGTGTGTTAAAATTAGTGTTAATCATGGTAGCTTGTGCAAGAGTAGGCTTTCTAAACTATTGGGGAGAGGGAGGGAATCTGTCAATGTAACCATGGGGAGAGGTGGGGTGAAAGTAATAGAAAAACAGGAAAAAAAGATGGCAGGATAAGTTAAATAGGGAAAATATGCAAAAGTTGAACTTTTGTCACAAGAAGGTACTCAGTTTTAGATCATTTATCATGATGTGAATCTTGAATCTTTATATTAAACCTTTTTCCTTTGAATATGTTTCATTTGCTTACTTTTGTCATTACATAGTTAAATCTTTACATTTTATTGCATAAAGCCATCCAATGAAGAGATCAGATCTTTCCTTATGTTGGACGTTAATGTATTCTCAATTGTTAGTCTGGAATAAAATAAATTGATTTGCAACATATAGATAAGAAGAAATGAAGAGAATGATGTAACCATTTTATGGCTTTTGCTCCCAAGGGCTTATTTAGTATATTTAATTTACAAAAACAAAAAAAAACAAAAAGTGTCCTCTGCCCAGCATTTGAAATCAGCTTTTCTCAGTTCGGTCCTTAGCAACTCTGACCTTCATGGACCTTGCAACTTTAAATGCCCTGGCCTCAGTACACCTGGCATTGAGCTCTAACTCTGCTGTGTGACCACAGGCAGGTTACTAATGCCTCTTGAGTCTCTAGGTCCTTCATACGCAACTGGGTTCATTCCTTCCTCTCAGGTTTCTTGTAAAATTCTGTGCCCAACATAAGAATCCTCAGTAGATGGGAAATCCCGCTTCCTGGCCAGTAGATGTAAAGCTGGTTGCCCTTCTCCCAGTTGTTGAGTTTAGTTTTAATCTCTACACCCAACATGGGGCTTGAACTTAAAACCTGCAATCAAGAGTTGCATGGTCTACCAACTGAGCCAGCCGGGTGTCCCCCAGTTGTTGATTTTAGAGTGAGTGAGCACAACAGGAGGCCATTTTCAGTTGTGTTGGGAATGGGTGGGTTAGAAAACTGAAAACATTGATCTTAGGTACTCCATTATTTTTCTATTTCTACTCTGCTGCATTTCATTGCTATGTCTGGCTTATAGGCTTTTTTCCCCCCAGTTTTTCTTCTGTAAAAATACTTTTTACCTTTTGCTCTACTTAGGAAATCATAAGAGGTGTTGAGAAAATAGTATAGTCCCATGTACCTTTTACCCTCTTCCCCCAATGATAACATCTTACATAACTAGAGTTAAGTTACAAGGAAGGATTCTTGGATAGTAGATCCTTTGGAGGAAGCGTGATCTGTCACTACCTTGATTTCCGACTTCTGGTCTCCAGAATTGTGTTTTTGTTCCAAGCCACCTATTTGTCATACTTTGTTATCAGCTCCAGGAAACTTAATACAGTGTTCATGAACTGTTAGGATGCCCACGCGCTGCTTTCTTCAAGACTAATAGCCTGTTTCTGTAGATGATTATAGGAGATCAGGCAACAATTCTGCTGATGCTGATACACTTTTAGTGACCAGACTGAGAGAAAGCCTGTCCTGTAGAACCCTCCAACATGGATGCTTACGTTTGACATACTCCTACACAGTCTAAACCCGTTGTGGCATTTACTTGGGGATAGTGTTTAAGCGGTTTTTTTCCCAGGGTGTGGGGAGGGGTGAGAATTTCTAGCACAAAAGTAGACAGTTGGTAATACCCTTCACACCCTGCTACTTTATCAAGTCTGTTCAAAATCTCTTGTATTTTCCTGTTAATCTTGCCCTTATTCTCTCCCCTAGTATCCACCCACTAACACAAGTCTTGTAAGTCCTTGGATGTTTTTCTTCTAAAATGTCCTTTTGTGAGTGAGTGTGTTTCTAATCTATGGGAATGGAATTATGCTTTGGACCTTATCTATTACTATTAATACTTAAAAAAAAGATAATCTATTATGCACATCTAACTCATTGTTTCTAATGAATTTGACAGTATGCATCCTTAATATTTTATCACTTTGTCTAGTGGTGGACACCTGAGCTGCTCCGTCTCCCTCTCTCCCCCCATTGTTTATGACCAACTTTATCCCTTCCCCCTTAGGGACCTGGGCAAGAGTACCTTTTGGATCCCAATGTAAGCTTATGCTTAATTCCACTCAGGATTGCCAGTTTGTTTTTCAGAGTGGTTCTAGTTTGTGAAAAGTGAAGACCACCCAGATGAGAACAAGCCCAAGGTATTCATTCAGACCTTACTATGATGGAGCCCAGCCAGCATGGCCAGTATCAAAAACTCAAAGGCAGTTAGGAGTGGGAAAGCTTTATAGTGGAACAAAAGGAGAGGTTCCAGGTATGCTACCATTGGAGGTTATTGGCATGGGAAGCTAACTAGAAGCAGGGCATCTCTATTTGGCAGGGAGAGAAAGAGCACAAGCAGGGGGAGTGGGAGAGGGAGAAGCAGGCTTCCTGCTGAGCAGAGAGCCCAACATGGGGCTCAATGCCAGGACTCTGGGATCATGACCTGAGCTGAAGGCAGATGCTGAACTGACTGAGCCACCCACGTGCCCCAGGAGTAGGGCATCTTATGTGATGACTTTGGGGAACATATTTGGCTTTGGTTGGCCCTGAGTTGGAAATGAGAGCAAAAACGGAATTTGGTAGTCATTGACCAAGTCTGACCATTCTAGGCCAACTGCTGCAAACGTGGTTTGGTTTCCCAGGTTAATTGTAGAAGTTGCTGGTCAGAATTCTGTTGTCATATATGCTTTGACTATCTATGTATTTCACTGGAGTTCCTACTTTCCTACATCCCCACTCAACTTTTTAATTTTTCCCAACATAATGGTTGTAAAATGGTATCCTGTTTTAATTTGTATTTCTGTAATTCACGAAGTTGAGAAGTCGTCCATATATTTTTGTAGTCATTTAGAGTTCACCCTTTGAATTTGCTGATTCATATCTTTTGCTCTTTTATCAGTGACCAAAAAAAGCCTTTTTTTTTTTTTTTCCCCAGTAATCTCCACACCTAATGTGGGGCTTGAACTCAATGATTCTCAGATCAAGAGTCACATGCTCTACTGAGCTAGCCAGGCGCTCCAAAGCCTCTTTTCTTTTGATGATTTACAAGAGTTCTTTGTATAACTGGATAGTAATCCAATATTGTTTTTAGATAGTAGAAATATTTTCTCCCAGTTCATTACTCACTTTTTTTGTTTTTAGTTTTAAGATTTATTTATTTGACCGAGACACAGCGAGAGAGGGAACACAAGCAGGGGAAGTGAGAGAGGGAGAAGAAGGCTTCCCCTGAAGCAGGGAGCCCAATGGGGCTTGATTCCAGGACCCCGGGATCAAGACCTGAGCCGAAGGCAGACACTTAATGACTGAGCCACCCAGGGGCCCCCATTACTCATTTGTTAATTTTGTCTATTCTATCCTCTTTGAACAGAAATCCTCAATATTTTATGGAATCCGACCCATAATTGTTTTTGCCTTATGGTTGGTGCTTTTAAAGTCTTTAAGAATTGCTTTCCTGCCTACAATCAAATATTCTACATTTTTTTTTTATGTTTTTCCATTTTAAAAAATTAATGTATAATTTATATATAGTAACATGTTTTATGACATATAGTGTTGCAAGTTTTGATAAGTGGATACAGGTATATAATCACAATCAAGATGGAAGTGCCTGGCTGGCTCAGTCGGAAGAGCTTCTGATTCTTCATCTTGGGTATGTGAGTTCAAGCCTCACATTGGGTATAGAGATTACTTAAAAAGTAAAAATCTTTTTAAAAAATATAGAATTGTTCCATCAGTCTCTAAAATTACCCTTTGAGTCTGGCTTCTTTCACTTAGCATAATGCCTTTGAGATTAATCCACATTGCTTTTATCAATCATTCTTACCATTTTATCACTGAGTAGTGTGCTTTATGGATGTATCATAGTTTGTTGATCCATTTCCAAGTTGAAGAACAGTTTTTGACAATTCCCAAAAATGTTGCCATAAGCATTTCTGTATGTATTATTTTTTGTGTGAACGTAAGGTTAAGGTTTCATTTCTCTTGGATATATGTCTGCAGTGGGATTGCTGGGTTGTATGGTAAACATATATATATACCAAGCTATTTTCCAAAGTAGCTGAACTATTTTGCATTCCCATCAGCAAGGTATGATGTTTCCAGTTGCTCCATACTCACATCAGCACTGGGTGTGGCTTTACATTTTAACTTTTTACATTTCATTCTCTAATCTACCCAAAATCCATTTTCATATATGGTTTTAAGTCAGGAGTGAAGTTTTATTTATTGCCAAATAGTAGGCCAGTTTTCTGACTCTATTCTGTTTCATTGATCTGTTTTTCTGAAATTTACAATTTCCACTTTTTCCAAGAAAGAACTTAATAAAATATTTCAAAGTAGTATGAGTGTTAAGGGGATTTCAGACTATAAAAAGGGGGATTGACGGAGTCTCCTAGAATAATGGTGTAGGGGCTGTAGAAGAGGCATGAGCTCCAGTTTGTGTGTGTGTTTTTTTTTAAGATTTTATTTATTTGAGAGAGAGAGAGAGCATGAGCAGGGGGAGGGGCAGAGGGAGAAGCAGACTCCCCACTGAGCAGGGAGCCCAACGTGGGCCTCCATCCCAGGACCCTGAGATCATGACCTGAGCTGAAGGCAGGTGCCCCATGAGCTCCAGTTTTGAAATTTTTTGCCACAAGGCAAACTTAAAAATTTTATACACTATATAGAAAATAACTAATCTTTAGTGTGTTGTCTTGGGGAGAGGCTTGCCGCTGTCTGATCCAAGTTGCCCACAGTCCAGCTCCACCCCATCTCCCCAGGCTTGAGCCATTCTGGTAAATAAGTTTTGGTTTGAAGGTGAAATATGTGGAAATTCAGTGATTGTTACGTTTATGACTTATAGGCTGTTGATTTAATTAAAGCAATGCCCTTAAAAAAAATGTGTGTGTGTGTGTATATATATATATATATACACACACACACACACAAAGATGGCTCTATTGTTGGAGATTTGATAAAAGTAAAATGTTCATTTCCTCATCCATTTTGTTTATTGGACTTGTGGAATAACAAGCATGACTTTAAATGCTATTGTATGTATTTGATCTGTGGAACCAGTCTGCCATTAATTGGGCGTGTGTTTCTTCGTGGGAGTCAGCCGAGTGTGTTGGAAGGCTGGTGAGGACCAAGAGAGAGAAGAGTGGTGGCAGCTGAACTTCTGTGTATTAAACACCAGGATGCTTTTCTTGCACATACTCTCCTTTCTCATCACTAAAATATTCTGTGTG